TGATATAAAAATTTATATAAAATTAATTAAAAATGCTATATTTAATAAAATTTTACCTATATCCTAATAGCACATATTAGAAAATTTTATTTATTAAATATAAAATTAAAATCATTAACATGATATTGACTTAGAAAATAATTAACTGTTAAAAATTACATAAAGGCACTCTTTATTTTATTTTATTTTATTTGAATAAATAAAATTGTGTAAAAATGGCAACAGTGGTGTTGGTGGGCCGCCAATGGTGAAAATTCCAAGATGTATGCTGAGGAAGTGGGGTTTGAATCCCCTTATACACAAATTTGTTAAAAAGTTTTTAAAATTTGTGAATTGGACGGTTCATCGGTTCAAAAGCAAACAGATTTAACCAATTTTTATGAGTTTTGACAATGTTTCACTCAATTTGATCAAGTTTATATCATGATTCAAACCGATTTTATAACCGATTTCAATACAACTAGTTGGATCAACCGATTCGGTCCAAGTTTTGAAACAATGGTTCCAACCGAAAGTACCAATGCCCACCTCTAGTTGGAGCTTTTGCAAAACTAAATTTCCATATAAAAGTGTATGGCTGAATATTGTATAAAGCATTATGGTTGACATTTTTTGGTTGAAACATTTTTATGTTAAATTATAGAAAACGAGCTTAAACTCAAGTACAGTACTCAAGTATTCAAGTGCATTTGAGCTTGAGTTTAACCATTTTGAACTTATTAAATACTCAAGCTCAAATATTTAGCTATTGTCAATTTAGTTGATAGAACAATTGATATAGGCTGATAATTCAGACGGCTAATAATACAAGTCGATAAAATTAGACAAACCAAATACATCTCGTGTGAATGCATGACTTTTCACCTAAGATGTGTTTAGGTAGATGATCAATCCAAATTTGAGCCACCAACAAAAAATAAAATAAAATAAAATAAAAACCCATTGCCTATCAAAAAGTACCTACCCGGCCTTGAGAAAACACAACATTTCTGCAGCAACATACCACTAGAGCTGCTATTACAGAATCACTTAAAAAACACATGTCACGAGTACTACTTATTTGGCGATGATTTGAACTCAAGTTCCTTTTACAGAGACGTTTGTCCAGTTGCATTCCCATGTCCAGAAAACCATGGTAGTCCCGGCCGAAGGCACTGTTTTGTATCTGGTAGTGGAATAATAGGTCCCAGAAATATGCGCCATAAATCAAGTATTATGGTTACCAGCATTGCAGCCCCCAGAGAATCAACAGCAACTCGGGACAAGTCCCACAAATCACCAGGTTTCTCTTCAACCCTGTATGAATGGGTCAATTCCGTGAAGAAATGAGTAAATTTGTAATGCTGAATGAATTAAGAGCAGTTAACTGGCTATATAGATTCTAGTAAACAACATTATTTGTATGTAAAAGGAAATTGATTTGGCTGCAGTCTGCAGAACAAGCAAATCAATGACATTTGCAGTCATCTTCTACCATACAACTTAAGAGAATGTAATGCACCACAATTTGTTACATAAAATAGTTTATCCCAGATTACCATATGAAGAAATGAGCAAGCAGACAACCAAGTAAAAAAAATGTATTCTGATACAGGATGCGCTGAGATGTGGGATGCTTTCAGTGGTTAATGTTGATCTGACCTCAATTTTTCTATGACCAGTAGTAATTCCAGTAATGTAAGAAGTGATGCATAATACTAAAACATGGTACTTTTGAAATTTTCAGGTGTGGAAAACTGGAAATCCCAAGGAAACTGCATAAATAAGGCACTTTACAAATTATGAGACAAACAAATAAATTATCAGATTGAGTTCTTACCTTAGAAACATTGGAAAGCTTACAATGAAGTAGATAGCATAAAACAAGGACCCAACTTTGTACATTGATGCCCGGTCCACAAACTCATAATAAGGAAACTGCACATAATTGAAACAGAACATCAGGTGGCTTGACTCCATGGTGAAAAATCTGAATTAGGTTTTCACGTGGAAGTCTCAAAGAACTGGAAAAATAGAAACATCAAATTTTTTGCAACCCTAACAGAATCTCAAAGTTCTCTTTAAACAGTAAAGGATTAAAGGCTCAGTTCGTACATCAGACACATATATGCCGTGATGATGATTGTGTAGGCTTTGCCTGTTGTTATAGACTGCCCAAAAAAATTCAATAATTAAGCTTTCTTAATCATAAAATGGCTACTTAAAACCCACTTGCCTTAATTAACATTATATGAGTTCAATTGGCTATTGAATGCCACCAGTTAAGACCTGAGACAGTTTTAGAAACTGCTCAGCACCTAAAGAAAAATGATGAATCATTAAACTACAGAAAAAGAAAAAAAGTTGATAGAGCTCAATAATACCAACAACATGCTTGAATCATGGGCCCATTGTCAAATGTGCACTAGGGAGGTCTTGTTTTTATAGATCAGGCTGCTACCCTCCTCAATGGATGCATCTTTTGAGTGGAGACACAGCATCTGACACATCATGTCACAACCACCCTGGGGTACTATTGTGTGGGTATGGAGACACTACACTAGGGCTCAACTATGACCCCCTGGCAAGGTCAATGGGGATAAAACTGAGGGATTCTGTCACAGGCATGTGCAGAACCCCACGTCAAATGAGGTCTTCAGTTTTTAAGTCAGGCTGTACACCCCCTCTCAATGGATGCATCTTTTGAGTGGATACACAGCCTGTGACACGTGGTGTCGAAGCCACCTTGGTGATACTATTGTGGATATGGGGACACTGCATAGGGGCCCACCTATGACTTGACAAGGATGTTTGGGATTGGATTGGAGGGGTATATCACTGGCATGTGCAGAATCCCACATCGAATTTGCTCCAGGGAGGTCTGACGTCTTATGTTTATAAGTCAGGCTGCTATTGGACCTCAATGGATGCATCTTTTGCATGGAGAAGCAGCTTGTGACCTATCCTGGTTGTTTCTGGTCTTCAGTTTTGGTTGTAAAATTGACGCTATACTCAAATTCGCTTAGTATAGTGGCTGGTTTCAAAAATAAATAAATAAAACCAACAAGAAGTTTTCACAACACATTAAAACCAAAATTTTGAGCTTCCAATTGTTTCAGCAATTATTGGTTTTCAATAATATTAAAACTAAAACCCTTTTGAGTACTAAAAAGAATCTATTTTGGTTGTAGGTTGCCATTTCAATTTTTGGTTTTGGTTTTCAGTTAGCTTTGGTTGCTAAACAGAAAACCAGAAACAGCCACAATACTAAACAGAAGCTTAATGTCTGGATAAAAGTGGACAGGGAAACTTACATTTGAAATAGCTACAGTCTCCAGGTATGCTATGAAATAAGAAAGAGCCAAAATCCATGCTGCCTCAAAAGCCCAGCGAATGCTATCTGGCATACCAGCAATCGAACGTTGCAGCCTGCGAAGCGTCATGTTTGAGGTAACATGGTAAAACAGGAAGCAGACATGTGTGAGAAGGAAAGTTGTGTGTGGTACCTACACAGGGCAACAGATAAGAATCAGGCAGCCGGTATCAAATACATGAAAAATCAAAATAGTATTTCCAACATTGGGCCTTACATCATTCATTTTCCAAGATGGGAAAGTGTAAGAGGCTCCCAAAACTGTAAAGAAATAGTGGGTCCAGAAGTAATTTCCAACATAACTAAATATTGCTATCCAGAGACTGGCCTGCAGCAATAACAAAACCACAGTAAAGGCCAAAAAAAAACTGGTTGCAAAGAGTTAACTAGTACTCCAAAGTAAATGGAAACACAGACCTGCTAAAATTCAGAACAATTATTATCTAGACTTTCCAGATTAAAAGAACTGCTTTAGACTTCATTTTTATATCTCTTGACTAAAACAGAAGGTACTATTGAAGGTATTCCTAACAAGAAAAGTTGTTTTTCAAATTCCTTAGCTGACAGCTTTTCAAAAAGGGGGGAAGAAAGCTCAACTAATTACAAGTTCAAGTTGAAAAGTGAATTTTCTAAGCAACCCTTAGAACAAAACTTAAAAGTAACCATTAATTTTATTCCATGGTTTGATAATCCTCCATCCTTATGATAGGGCAATCCATTGTAAGAATAGGAGTTTAAGAAGTTTCAGGTGAGAAAACCTGTGTATAGAAGATTGAATGACTAATAGGACTTCCACAATAGCCAATAAATTCACAAGACAATAGAAACTAATTAACAACGTGAAATTGCATGTGAGTAAGAAATCAGACAACCTAGATATTAGGTTTCACAATTGAACGACCAATTATAAAATTTAAAAAAAAAAAATCATATGTGATTATGTAAAATGATACCCCAAAAAAACCAAAAAAAAAAAAAAACTTGCCTTGACCCAATAACGATCCTTCCAACATAATTTTCTGTCAGCCTACCAAAAAGTAATCACCAGTAAAGACACATTGCTAGAGTTCATTAAATCCACTGAAAAGTAAAAAAACCATTCTGAAAATTAAAACCCTCAATGTCTGTAACAAACTAATTGTTCTCAAAATTTACAAGCCAGCTTTGGCATCAATGGGGTACTGATAAAGAAATTAACTCTCCAAAGAAACAACTAAAGCAACTTTTGCTTGTTAAGTATGTTGACAGCTCCCAGTCTAATCTTGATAACACTGCTGAGAACAAGCTTTTAATCACCCCAAGACAACTTAAAATCTGGTTAAACTAAACTTAGATGCAAGTGATGCATGTTTGCATCAAAGCCAATGCCTTCCGGTGAGCATAGTCCATCCAGAATTGCATCAAAACCAATGGCAATAAGCACTGCAGTTGGCCTTCCTGTGAACATAGTACATCCAAAATTCCATACCCTACTCAACAGTTGTGAACATCCTGAGTTTAATAATCTACTTGTAAAGCAGTCGACTTTTTTAAAAAGTCTAACCTACTCATGCCCAATTAAGTCATAAATAACTCCTGACTCAGAAGGCTGTAAAGCATATAACTTCTAGTTGACAAAAGTACACTGTTATCACTAAAATGCATATTTCCAAATTACAGGGCTTTTTGATTTGAGGCTCCATTTGCTAGATTAATGTAAATACCCCCTTCAATGCTTGATTCAAATCATATTAGCTCGATATATCAAGTTATCAACAATATTTACATGAACCAATTCAATGATATCATTAACCTACCATAGTTGCTGAAACGAAATCAATAATAAACACATCCCACAAATAGATTTGAACCCTTTTCATGTTTGCCCACATACTACCTCGAGGCAAAAGAAAAAAAAATCGGATTCTTTCGGAAGCTTACCTTCCCAACAAATATCATTGGTATCAAGAAAGAAGGAACTGCAGATACCAAAGCAAGGAGCAAATACTCCAATTCCGTGAAGCTCTGTAAACAGCATAATGAAGCTTAAATGATGAAACAAAAATTCCATCTTCAGTTAATACTTATATCATTTTTGAATAAAAAATCAGTGTGAAGAGACACAAGTGTCTCAGATTTGAAGAAATCCAAACAGACCTCGTAGAGCTTGTAAGGAACAACGATTCCCAAACAGAGAGTGAGCCAGAAAGGAGTGTAGCAAAGAAAGAAAAGCTCGCCCCATCTCTTACTGGGATTCGAAGCTAACCACAAATTTGAACTAGCCGATTCAGTACCCGTACCTGTGCATTTCCAAACAATTAGGATAAGCGGCGAAGTGAAGGCCGACAGAGCTGAATGTGAGAAGAGGAGAAGAGAACTTACCAACCATTTCGGGGATTCGGATCTTGGACGGTTGACGGTTCTCCAGCCAATCTGGGCCTGTGCTTGTGGAGTTGAAGTGAAAGAATGTGGAGACTGGAGACTATACAATTATCATTTGACCAATAATAACGTGAAATTGATTAATATTTTATTTGGTGCTTAATGTTCAATTTTTTTTTTTTAACAAATCCTAATTATTTACATATATTTATTTTGGTATAGAAAAAGAGATTTCGTATTCTACAATATATTTATTAAAAATTTATTATTTTTAAATTTAAATTTATAATAAAAAAATTTTAAAAATAAATTTTAATAATTAAATCAAAATAT